TTGCTTTGCTTTCAACTTGTTTGCATTGCCTCACACCTTAATGTTGGCTGCTTGTTGTTATTATTGTTGTTTTTACTGATTAACTTTATGCCTTTAAAAAAAAATTGAGCGGCAGCATTGAAAAATTTATTTTAGCTTCTTGTACATAAATTTTGCGTAGCGTGCTTTTAGGCGTCCCTTCCAATGGCTCCTGCGCAAAAACTTGAACGATTTCTATCGCAAATGTTTCTATGCAAATTTTGGCCGGAGGAAATGAAAAGCGCACAGGAAGTACCGAGCAGGATGTGCAATTTTTAGTTGCAGTTTGCGGTTGATAAAGGCATAATGATAAGACTGTGGTGTTACGAAAAGGTCAAGTCAGAGAACTCTTAGTTAAAACTATTTGCAGGCGGAAATTTGTATTCAGAATGAATTCATGCAAGCAATTTGAAACAATGCATAATTTACAAATGATAGACATTGATTAAATGTTCAATGTCTATTTAGCGATACGATAATATTAATACATATAAAAAAACAAATTTATTTTACATGTATTCAAATTTTTGTTTCACAATTTTGATTTTTTTTTGTTTGAAGCATGACTTTTTTGAAGCGTTCTTTTTGATAGTTATATGCTTGTTGAAATAATGTTAACTTTCAAACAAAAGACTTATCAAGTAGTTCCATAAATTAAATGTATTCTAAAGTTCGTCTCTTTATTCTTATAAGAAAATGTATTTTGTTGGCATAATTTTAAGGCATTTGTGATAATTATTTAAATTTAAATTTTTTTAATGCTTTAAAACTCTTGGGGAGGTTAGTAGTCCCATATAGTTCCATATAGACGACCAGATTTTGCCAGCTTGCCCATTACAGTAGATCGCCTGACGTTCATACCAAATGGCAGACAGTTTTTTTAAATTATTGGTATAAGGGGTGTGTTGGAGAAGTGCAACCAAATAGTGGCTTTAGACGTAAAAGGTGTGGCGATTGTTAAAAGGAAGACGCTGTCATGTGTCAAGCTATCCCTGCCAGGACTAGTCTGCTTTTGACGGCCTGGTAGTCATTTAAATTAAGTGTGTAAACAGGAAGTCAGAAATGAATTGAATAATGCCAAACCGCCTTTTTTTTTGTGGAAAAAAGTGAATGTTGATTTGTCGATTAACCCGCCAAATGCCACTGCTCTTATTTTAATGCCAGCAGATTATGTTTAAATTCAATTTCTAAGAAAACACAGACATACTTTTTGACATATTTTCCAATGGATTTCTAGACAAACATAAAAAGAAAATAAGAAGAATAGGATATGTGTCCGTTTTAAAGGAACTTATGTATTGAGAACGCCAGAAGAAGAAGAATTATCACAGTCTTAGAAAATTAAGAAAAAGTGTAGTAGCTGCTTTTGGAAGTCCATTTTATACAATTAAACCATTTTTTTTAATTAGTGTGAATAACGCTCGTTAGTTTTTATTATTTGTTATAAATTATTTTATATAAATTATAAATTATTTATATTGTTATTATTTTCAAATAAATTGCACAACTATTTGTCGATTTGACTTAAATTTAACCCAAATTGTATAAATTAAGCTGCAAATCAAAAGTTAAACTGCACGTCAATTGCTTGGCATGAGGATTTGTTCAACTGTCCCATTTAGAATTTAAGAGGTGAGTACCTGATGGCATACCTTCAATATTTAACACTCAATTTACATGAGTTTGTTGCTTATCGAACAGCCAGAAACCAATAGCAAATAGCAAAACCCACAAGCAGAGCCCACCAAACCAAGCCAAACTCAAAGCAATCTCAGCAACCCCAATGGAAAAAGTGGTAGTAGTAGGCAAATGCATTCATTAATAAATTATCGGGGCATACAAAACCTCAAGTTAGAATAGCAGCCGCCTGCATAGGGAACAACTAGATGGGGCAGGAGATGAGAAGCCTCTGGTAACAATATACAAACCGCTGTAGCCACCAATACCAACAACAAGCACAATAATAACGAACAGGCAGCCAAACAGTCGTTCAGGCATGCTGCAAAAGGAGGACGACAAGGACGACACAGACGAGGAGGACGATATCATTACGTAAACGTAAAACTTCCGCCTTAGAAATTCAATTAAACTAATAAATTTTCCATTATCCTTATCGATGGCAGCGCTCGGTGAGGCTCGCACCAGACATAACAGAAGCTGTGGGTGATATTGCAGCAGTAAGTGAAGCCGTGCTCGGAGTTAGGGGGCAATATTTAAATGCGTCCAAAGCAAACATTAGCAGTGGCATAAACACACATACACACACACACACACACACACAGTCACAAGCAAACATACACAGGAATAGACACACACAAATAGAGGGGCAGACAGCGGACGGTGACCAACACATGTGTAAAAATAACACCAACAGCATCAACAAATATGTGTGTTTGTGTATATAGCAACAATTTGCATAAATTAAAACTTAAAATCAAGCGACGACACACAATACGCCCCACAAACGATGATGAGGCACAGTGGTATAAAAAGAAAATAAACTTGTTTGCACAAAAATATGTTTAAAGTGAAACTTTCATTCTGGCTGCCTGTCAGAGACAGAGACTTGAGCAATGGTTTAGCGACTGTAGGGGAGTAGGGATATTATATGTTTTAATGCTTTACAATATTTTGTTCCCAAGGCACACAATAGTGAAATAAAAATCAACTTTTTAGTTTCCTGCTTTTTTTATGAAATTTTTGTTTTTTGTCTTTTTACTCAGTTTACCGGAAGGCGAAGAATATATAGAAGTTTGTTCCGATCTTCAAATGTTTTAAAACATATTTGGAACGTAAAATAATCAAAAGATTAAACATTTAGGCGAAATTCGGTCTAAATATTATTTGATTTTGATTCAACTTTAAAAAGAATAATTTATTTTTTATTTATTTATATTTTTATTTATTATATTTTTTTTATTTTTAAAAAATTTTTGATTTAATTTTTATTTAACTTTAAGAAGTAGAATTTATTTTTATTTATTTATATATATATATATATTTTTATTTATTTATTTATGTTTTATTTATTTATATTTATATATTTCTATTTATTATATTTTTTTATTTTCAAAAAAAGTTTGATTTGATTTTTATTCAACTTCTAGAAGTATAATTTATTTTTTATTTATTTTTAAAAATTTTTGAAAAAGCTATTCAGCTATTTAATAAAGTTTAAATTTCACACAATAGAAAAATAAAATGATTTTAGCTGTAATTGTATACAAAGTATTATATTTATGAGAAATGTAGGTACGAAAGTTGCCTTTTGTTTAAGCAAATTAAATTCACAGATCCTTTTAAAATCATTGTTTTCATAACTCTCTTCACAAGCTTTGAGAATATTTTGAGCCAAATATTAGAATTGTATTCCACTGTTGTGGTGTTTGAGAAAGGGGACCCACAAATTGAAAAATGCCCAAATAACAAGGCAAGACAAAGCATCATCGGCGGTGGGGGCTGACTGGGGCGTGACTGCAAGGCGCCTGAGGGGGCGTGACGGGTAAAAATGCTATGCAAAATTAAAGCATGTTGCATTTATGCACAACGTTCCATGTGTTCATATATGTACAAGTATGTATGTACATGTAGTATGTGAGTGCGTTGTCCACTTAAATTTGAACATACAAACATATGTATTAAAGGGCGACAAAATTTGCATAGCCTCGGCGAGGAGCAACTGGGCCCAGGTTCAAGTAAATACGACAGCGACATGGCCATACCTCAGTCTCAGCCGCAGCTTTGGCTTTTCGCATGTGGAGCACCACAGCTGATTTCTTTGTCAGGACGCGCGCATACACACACAGACACATGCAAGAAGGAGCACACACATACACATGGACATGTACAAAGGCAAGCAGGATGGCAGTCAGGACGTTGTGGTGGCGGCCGCACAAACACGTAAATTAATCTGACAAGTGATACTTCTGGCCTCAGGCCCGGGTAGCTACGACAGAGCAACCGACGCTGCCGGAGTCGTAGCAAGAGCTGAAGTCAGTGCTGGAACTGGAGCCGGAGCCGGAGCGTGTGTGTAGCCGGAGCCGTCAAAATGTCGCTGCATAGGGCGCCGGTGCCTGAGCAGCCCGGAAAGCAGCCATGTGCCAAGCATTAAAGTCCTTTGGACATCGCACACACTCGCCTATGTGTACAGGACAATGGCTGTCCTGCCAGTTCTGTCCTGTGCTGACTTTTTGCTTGGCTGCCAGTTGATGAGACGCTGATGCTGATGCTGTTGCCGACGACGACGACAAGGACAACGACAAAGTCGCCGGCACAGGGGCAACATTTACATGCAGCACCCAATGGAGACAGGCAGACTGACCTGCTCCTGCTACTGCGAGCAGGACTAGCCACTTTTATTTACATGTATTGCAGTTATTTTGTATGTAATTTATTTCTCTGATGTCCGAACAGTGCGTGTCCCCCCCACCACCTCCCCCCTCTGGAGGGAGCGCATCACTCACATTTTGTTTATTGGTTTTTCAACTTCGTCTGCTGCTTGACGTTGACGCTCTGCTCTGACTGCTCCAGTTCGAGGTGGAGGTGGAGGTAGAGTTGGAGCTGGAGTTTTGATTTTTATGGCCAGGCAACAGTCAAGTGGAGTGACCACAGACGCGTCAAGTGTAGGCACCCAGCAATGTCAGGCCATTATTATATAGAGTTCCAGCTGGCTTGGAGTTAATAAACCAAAAAAAAATAAAAGCAACGATTCTTTAAATTTCACAAAGCATATGCATGTGGATTTTGGTCAAACAATTTTAGTAAATATTTTCCAAAAGAGGAAATGTATAAATTATGCAAAATAAATTTGTGTTCGTTTTAGCTTACATTTGTATTAAAACAAAGAAAAAATCATGGGAACAAAATTGTTGGGGTTGCATTCAAAACTGTTATCCAAGATGTTTGATCAAAAGATAAACAAACAAAATATCCCTCACAAAGGGGAAATCAATTCTATTTCAAGTTCAATTATAATAAACAAATTGTAAATATCAAAATCATTTTATTAGTTGACTACAGGGATTGTTGTAGACTCCTCCTCAATTATCCTTCTTCATTCTGGTGGAAGTCATGCGATAGATGATCGAGTCCCTGCCGGGATCCATTGAGCCAATAGCATAACATATAGCCAATAGGGCGAGGCAAAAGACAACCATGAACCACAAAATGATGTTGAAGATAACTGGGTAGTTATAATCGTAGTATTCGACTGAACTATAGGGGTTCGTGTTGTTTGGAGGTACGACATCGCGCTTGGAACGCGATGAGGATACCTCTTCATCGGTGGTTTGAATGAAGAGGACCGAGGTGCTAGATTTTTGAGCAGCGACCTGCAGGCGACCAATGGCAGCAGAGATCAGTTTGTTGGCTTCCTCCAAGGCCTCCGACTCGTCACCGTTCCCTTTGGCAATGCCTTCGACGGACAGGCGGACGAGTAGCACGTTCGAGGTTTTAAGCATTTCGGCCAGATTTTCAGAGGCAGCGTTAATATAACCTATTTGCTGCAGAAACTGTTTGTCAGCGCTGTGCAGTGATAGGCTTAAATGCTTGGTAGGCTTAGCAGTAGGTGCCTCCAAGTCCCCAAAGCATGATTTGAAAGATTGGATGCCATCCTCGTACTTTTCAAAATTAATGTCGCACACCGGCTCGTTGGCAGCTTCTAGATCAGCAGCCAAAGCAGTCAGGGAATTACTAGTGCTGGACCCAACCAGATCATAGGTTTTGAATGTGCCAGCAGTTTCGATATGGCGAGTTCCCTGCACATGCACGGCTATTATGCATTTGGCCAAGTTAAAGGGATCGGAAATAATCATTCCGCTCCAGTCTGATTCACCATTGACAGCATTGCCCAAGGCAGCGTATAGGACGTCGCCAACATTGTAGCTCTCCAATGCGTCATTGCCCTTGAAGCTGATTCCTTTGGGGCTGCTCAGCACTGTCAATTCGCCAGACGCATGAATTGCCACAATTAAGAGCGAGAAAATCACGCAATTTCGAAACATTTCCAAAGCAATATTCTCTTTAAACATATGATGACTGCGAAAACCTGTGCCTACTGCGTTAAGAATGCTGTTCTACAATTCTGAAAACTGAAGAAAGCAATGCCCACAAAATCAAAAAATAAAGTATAAAGAATATATAATTTTATAACTGTCATTTTTGAACAAACAATAAATATAGTATATGCAAATTTTAAAAACCTGAAACTAGAAAACCTGACTATTAACGTAAGTTTTGAATCCGCTCGCTTTCCATGGAATCCTATTTTTCATAAAAAGTTGTTGCTCAGATAATCATTATTAAGTGAATTAATTATTAAAATTAATTAATTGAATTCAGTAAAATAAATGAATAGATAACTTAACTAGAGATCATATTCTATATAACTAAAAAGAAATTGAGCAAAGGAATTTATGCAGAAATATGCAACCAAATTCATTTCAAAAAACTTTTGAATTATTTATATAATATTTTTTTTATAGAATTCAAAACAAAAGAAAGTTTTGAGTAATATCAGACGAAGCTATAACTAGAACATTCCATTAAAATGCAAGTCATTTTACAGACCCATGCATTATATAATTTTTAAAAGCGAAGCGTTTCAATTTCAATTACAATTAAGTTTTTTATAATGTGCGTTGTGTAAAACGGAAAAAATTAGCATTCGCAGACTGAGTTGCACAATCAATTAATATTTCCTCAAGCGTATTTACAGCAGGAGAATTTTAATATTTTTGCCACAAAAAATAAAAGACAACTTCAATTGTAACTGCAACTGATGGGCTGCATGAAAACACATCGTCGTGGACATCGCCATCGTCATCGCCGGACTCGCGCTCGCACACTTCGCTGCTCGTTAATCAATTAAAAACATTTACAAATTTGCATAAACATTTCTCGCTGCTGCTTCTGCCATCATTTTTGCACTTGGAATATTCAGCGTTCCCTTCCGCTCGATTCGCAGGCTGGCCAATTTGTAAATAAGGCGAACCAAGCCACATTGATTAAAACATCACGTAATCGCAATTGACGCTGCCGTTCGCCGTTTATATTTTTAATGCACTGCCCAGTGCCGGCGGCGCCAACTTTACAACCACATCCATAGCCACATCCATAGCCACATCCATAGCCACATCCATAGCCACATTCACAGCCACATCCACGTTCACATCAAAGTCAACGACTACGACAACTTCAATGTTGGCGTCAGTCTAGGGCGGTGCCTGACATGATAATCATGATGTTGCTCTAAGTAAATGGGTATACTAGTATCAAGTAAAAACTGTCTCTTAAATATGAACCGACTTCAGAAATTCAAAACCATTCTAAAAACATACCTATTCATTAGCTATGGATCAGATTTTTTTCCCCAATTTTTAATGAATTCTAAATTATTGCACCGGTTTGAAAATAAAAAAAAAATAATTTGAAAGTAACTCTGACTTTTTAAAAAAATATTTGATCTATTTTTACGGCTTAGAAATTTTATATTTAGTTTAGTCTCTAAAATGCTTGATTGGTTGATTAAATCCTGCTTACAAATAAATTGTATATTGCCATAATTTCTGTTTTTTAAACGGGCTTCAAAGTGGGTTTGAACTGGTTCAGATATGTAGACATATTGGTTTATGATTATATCTCAGATTTAAAAAAAAAAATGAATATTAAAAATTATTCGATAATCATTTAAAGCAGATGATGTGCAGGTTAAAACTGGATCGAAGCTAAAAAATTACATTTGGATAACATAAGATTTTAATAATAAATCTAATTCAAACCCATAAATTAAATCGTTTTAAATAAATCAGATTCAAAGTTTATATGATGTTTATTTTTAATAGATTTCGGATTTTGTTGAAGGGTATACCGAAATCAAATATTCTGGACTTTATACTTATATAGTACTGCGTTATATTTTTTGTTTTTATTTTCTCGTCAGCTTTTTGCGCTGCACGTAGACAGCGTGCTCGTGTGGTTTACATTGTTTCGTCTTATTCTCAATTCATCTTTTCTATGAATATGAAGTCAAAAATTTTCCAATTTTGATTTCTGCGAATCTGCAATTGATTCAACAACAACAACAACAACAACAACAACGTCTGCGGTCAATGCAATGAATTTCAATTAGCAGAGCCGACTGGTAATCAATGTTTTGTCTACACATCAATGACAAATTGTGCGCACAAGCCATGACTCATTCGATCTCGGCTTATCAACAGCGACATAAATTAAAAAGTGGACATTTCGTTGTACAGCAAAATGGAATAAAAGTAAAGAGAATGGCCAGTGGAACAAAACTGCAGCACAGTTAAAGAAGACACCGTAACTCTTTGTTGCAGTCTTCATAAATTTCTTTCATACACGAACCAAATGTCAGTGGACTGTCTGGCACGGTCGTTCCGGGCTTGCCGCCTTGCCAAATATGCTTAATGACTTGTTTGTGTCTTGGATTAAATATAAATTATATTTTTTGCGGCGCATTCCACTTTGTAGCTTGTGCTGTGCCTGTAGCTTTGCTGTCTGCATTCGCCACGGGTTGGCCATCAAAACGAGCAACAACAGCAGCAACAACAGCAGCAACGGGTTTTGTAATGCGGCAAGATTAAAATTTCATTCCAATGAAATTTGTATGCATTAAAAAAGGGATTGTAAATGAAATGCCGTAGTGTGTAGTCGCACGAGTATAGTATGTGTGCATGCTAATAATAAAACTGCGGTATTATTGCAAAAATAGGCATGCAAATATGTTTTTTTCTATTACTTTTAATTTTCTTATTCTGCTTACAACACACAACCGATAACGATTTCATAATAATTATGGCAAAAACATTATATTTCTCTTTTGTCTTTAATATAAATATATTATACATCAATTTCGATTATTTAGTTGACATGGAAGCAATGTTTTGGAAATTTTCAACATTGCAATGTTAATAAAATAATAGTCAGTTCTTCAGGGAAAAAACAGAATGTTCAAATACCAAAATAAACTAAAATATAAAATGTTTCATATATAAACATAAACATATACAAACATTAATAAAAGATAATTAAATAACAAGTAAATAATAAATAATAAATAATGAAGCAATAATAAATAAACATTAACTACTTGAACAATATTGTACTTGTATATTAATTAATATTCTATTGAACTAAAAATGAATTGTTAGGCTGTCCCTGATTTAAGAACTCGGTCGAACTAAAATTTGCTCACATTTCTAAGTACGTTCGCAGGATTATTTTAATCATCAATCTTTAACCGCGTCATCTGCTGGTAGCAGGTCCATGCTATCGAACGTCAGTCCTTCACGTTCCCAATTGTATTGTTTATTTTCATAAAATACATTCCAACTTTTCGATCCAGATTATACAACCAATTCACTACTCAGCTCGATTAAGATAGGTTCGCCAAATCGTAAGTGTAGTTTACGTTTTTTAATCGTATATTTCTTTCCGAAACTTAACAATGCATTTTGTTTTTGTTTCGTTGCAGTCAAGCTAGAGTTATCGTATTAATTCAATTTTTAATAAATAAATAAATAATTCTCATAAATAGTTTCCTCTGTTTCTCATCTTAATACCAACAGGGTACAAGTTCTAGAGCCATCGTTTCTTGAGCTGTTTATAGATGTGAAAGAATCTACATGCAAAACAGTCATCGCAAACATGTTCCAGATTGAAATAAATCGAAGCATTTCAGCTCCTAACCAAGTAAGAAGCTCCTTCTGCCAACTTGCCCGACCTGCACTCCTGTGCATGGCAATTTGACAAAACGCATCTACACACTCTGAAATTGACAGGCTAATGCCAAGACCCCCAACTGAAGTAGAAAACTTTGGCTGAACGCCTCGAGCGATCTAGTCGCTGCAGAATGTCTGTGCATTACGTATACGCCACATGGACCCAACGGGCCTATTTCAAAAGCTCTGCCGGCAGACGTCAAATGCTTCTTGCCATATGATTCATTTGCTTTACTACTTGTGGTGACCATGTATATGTGTGTGTGTGAGAGTATTTGCGTGTCGAGTTATTTGCATAAATTATGGTGGGAACGAGAACTCGTCTTTGGCGCCCTCACCAAGCCACTCAGCATCGTTTTTAGCTTTATTTTTGCTCTTTGCTTATTTATATAAATTTTTACTGACAGACATTCGATTTCCGGTGCAGTACGAGCTGAGACGACAGCCTGGCGCATGTGAACAAATTTTCATAAACATGGCTGACAACTTTGCATAAGTTTTTGTGAAATATTGATCGACGCTCTGCTCTGCGCCTTCAAGCTTTCAAGTTCAACTTTTCCGCCCACTTGAAGCAATTTCATGCAGTTTCCTGTCGACGACGTTGGCGTCGTCTGCTAAAGTACAAGTAACAACACATCATTTATAATACTATATGCTTTGGTATGCCACCTCTCCACTCATTCAACTCTTCAGCTCATACCCAAGTGCCAGACTCTGATTCGGTCTTGCAGCAGTTGGGCAGGGTTTTTATTTTATTTATTTCACAACATATTTTCTAGCTTGCCTGTGCAAATTTTCGCATTGCTCATACGCACCGTTGAACTTATGTTTTGGTCAATTTTTTATTATGAGCCCCTTTTTTCATCTCGGCTATATACGTACATATGTATGTAGAAATTTCCACACATTTTCATTGCAAATTAATTTCAGTTGATATTTTATATGTGCAGGCCTGCAAAACATTTTTGATTCATTTGGGCTCATATTTTATGGGCAGATGGCAAAAATAAATTTGCCCAACAGCCCCAGAAACGCAAAGCCTCTGATTAATTAGGTCAAATGGCATACAGAGCTTGTTCTGTCTTTCCTTATAATTTATTTTATGAATTTCAGTAGCAGAACATTTTCGATTGGTTTATTTTCCTATGCATTTATTTGCTGATATTGCTGTTGTTGCGCTGAACTGATCAATAAAACTAAACCATACAAAAGCAATACAACATACAGTTGAGCTAATTAGTTTGCCCTCTTGTGTCAATGCAATACTCGAACGACTAATTAGAGTGTTCAAGTGGATGCTGAGAGTTGCATTTGCCTTTTGTCTATATACATAAATTGCGGAATTAAATACTACACTATGTTCGAGGGAGATTTTTGTTTTTCATTTGCACAAACATACGAGTATTCGACCCAAATCTATCAATAAAAATCTATTCAGATTAATGCAAATTGAGCACGAAATTGAATTTTAGGGCTGCTTTAAAAGTCATAACTTTGTTGAGAAAATAGTTTTTTTTTGGTTTGTTAGAAATTAATCTTTTTATTTTCAATTGAATGGTAAATTAAAGCACTTTCCATTCAATAAAAATGCCGAGTTTTTCACAAGGCTAGTTTTTCACATCGATACATCGATAGTGCCATCGATTGTTTTTCCAGCTCTTTATTTCAGTGTCAATTTGAGGTCCATCCGCTTCATCTTCACCGGGGTCAACTAGAGCTTTCCAAAAACCTTTTAATTTTAATCTTCGAAGCCCCATTTAATATCGTATTTGGTATTTTGTAAAAAGCCACTACTCAAGGCATATGAACTAATTTAACAATTGTTATTGGACAGAACTTGAATAAAGAAACCATAAAAAAGAGTTCTGTTTTAATATTCTTGAAAATATTCGTATATACCGTTCATTTTAAGTTGCTTTGATTTTACTTTGTTAAAGAGAACAAAACTAAAAATTTAGATTAAAAAATTGAATTAAAAATTAATGACAACAAATTCAATCTTGTAGAGAATGATTCAATTGAACTTAGTTTAATCTACGTATTAGTATATATCAGTTTTTCTATCAATATTAAACTCAGCGGTCAGCGCTAACCAAATTTCAGAAACATTACGATGATTTCAGAAAAAAAATATTAATTAACAAATATTTTTTTACAATTATATGTGCTTAAAAAAGAAGTCGTCGAAGAGTGGCATTAGATAAGGAGAAAAAAGATTCTAGAAATTTTGGCTTCCTAGCTCAACTGGTATAATAAATGTTTGGCTAGAAAAAAGAATCATTTACATGAATGGGTGGGTCGGAGGGTCTTGATTTAAGCGGCTTTAAGTTCGTTTTTTCCTATCTAATACAATATATAGGCTTTATTGATAAAAATAGTTAACAACTTAAGCCCACAACAAAGAGGCAGATGACATTAATTTTAAAAACGCTCAAATACGATGCAATATATTCGTCAATTTGTAAACTTGTCTAACTCTAAACACGTCTAAGCTTCCTTACATTTAAAATAAGTTTTAATCAATATTTACCAGCTTTTATAGTTTATTGAATTGAAAGTGATTTTCACACCCCACTTACTGAGTTAAGTAGTATGTAGTGGGACTAGCATTCCCGTTAGTCAGCAGCACGTAATGCGAACACCATTCCACTTACCTGTAACGAAAGTAAGAAAAAGAGTAAAATTTAATATAAATTCCGTTTTGGGGGGCACATATCCTTAATCTAAACTACACATAATCCGCTTGTTATTTACGCCTGCCCCAGAAACGGCTCTAGTTTAATTAAGGCGCACAAGGGATAGCGGGAATAACCCAAAACATTGTCCAACTAGAATGCATAAATTAAATTGTGAGCTTAGACCAAGGAAACTAAGGATGCTAATGATGTCCTCGAGCATCTAATAACGCTTTGCATGTAATCATGTTCTTGTGGGGCGCGTGGCCATGCGTGGCAAAAGGCACCGAGTCCAACGCTCGAGTCCTGCTCGGGAAGGCGACCTGTTAATCCCACAACTTAACTACTAAAACATGCAATGAGTGATGGGGAGGGGGAAGGGGAAGGGGAGCGGGAGTGGTGGGTGAAGAGTGGAAAAAACGCTCCGTTCATTTGCTCAATCGTGCACTCGAAAATGTCAATTTACATTTGCGTCAAGGACCCTGAGGAGCATCAGTTGACTTTAATGCCTGACTGCATGCAACACATAGTCGGGCTTTGTTTTTTTGTTTTTTTTGCTTTGCCTTGTTCTGCAGAGACGACTTTTTATCTTTTTCTAAAATGCTATTCATTCGGTTTCGGGTTTCGTCGTGGCTTTTGACAATGTGCTGGGCGTGGCACTGGCTTCCCTGCCTGCTGTGCTGGCCAAGTTAATTTGTATGTGTGGCCATAAACTTTGCCATGGCTCGGTGGGCGGCTGTGGTTGGATGCCTCAGCGTTTGGGACATTCTCGTTTCATATCTCAAATGTCCAGTTGCCAGAGTTTTTGCTCTCAAGCAATGGCCACAATGTGTGAATTTTGTTGGCTTATTGCGTTTGTATGCCGCATAATTGCTGACTTCTTTCACACATTCACACACATCATTGGGCATGCGACTATGCTTGTATACACGTATACACCCATATTCAAGTGTGCATGTGTGTGTGTCTGTTTTCGTCCCTTTGAGTTATTTTGTCCTTGAGCAGTGCGCATAAATCATAGAGCCGAAACATACCAAATTTATGCTTCGTTGCATTTTTGAGGCTTAGGCTGGGATGTTTGTCCCACAGATTATTTTCGGTTTCAATGTTGGGCAAAAGGACCAAATGGAAGGCGGATATATGCCTGACTTCCTGCAAACTTAGGCTATATTGAAAATTGCATTTGTTGCTATTCGTAGTAATTACATTTTGTAATTTGGATTGGACGACAAAATTCAATTGAAACCGAAGCAGCTCCAAATTCGTAATACTTGTAGCATGTCGTTATCTTCAAAAGTTTGTCAATTAAATGGACTCTTCAATAAGGTGTAACAAAATTCAACTATATTAGTAATATACTGCTGCTTACATTTCAATTAATTGATATAGATTACTTTTTTTTGAAATAAATAAAAATATATGTATAGCAAAGCATTACTCTTTAAATTTTGATGCAAGAATTTAATTTTTCTGTTAATAAAAAACTTGCTGTCTAGTTTTAATCAAAAGACTTTTTTGTAAATATTTATTTTTGTACAAAAATTGCTTCAACCTTTCGCCTGGCTATTGGTTTGTATATATATTTTGCCAAACAAAACCAACCGGTAGAGTATATTACTATACAAAATAGGCAAATAATTATTTTAATGTAACTACAAGTATTGTGAACAACTGGTTGTATTGATGATAAATAAATAAGTAATTTAGGGGAATTCTGAGAAAACTGTCACTAATCCATGTCATATAAATTTGATGAAACTTGTTAAAAATGAGAAATCGTAGTCTAGATTTGGTGTAACGGAAGGGATATCATCTGACATGGAAGCGAATCACAGCTAAGCATTTAATTCTACTCTCTACTGATTACCAAATTGAATTGGTCAATAGAAATAAGAGTTTATTTGGGAATTTTTGAGGCTTCCATGGCTAAATCCGGTCTGACAAAATATACCTTTTTCTCATTAACAATTTTCAGAGTATAGAAAAATGGCTACAATGTTGGACTTTGAAAATCGGTTAGCTGAGTTTTTCAGCAGCAAGGACCAAAGCTTCTATGAGAAAAACATAGTGAAGATATTAATTAAAAATGTGACCTAAATCGCTATTTTTATTAAAGAACATTTAGAAATTGCGTAACAAAAATGGATTTCTTTTTCCCCAACCCAACAAAACCCTTTAATCGTTCTGCAATATTTTAAAAATGTTAACCTTTAAAAATTGTCAAGAAAAAGCTAACATTACATATTTGCTAACACTTGCACACTTTTTTGGGAAATGCTGTAAAAATGTTTGGTTTAAAATCCACAATTTTAAATTTTAAAATAAAGTTCAATATACAATTAATTCTATGACAAAAATTTTTATTACTTATTATAATAATAAGTTTCCAGCATAAAAAAGTTGTTTTTTGTAGGTTTTTTGAAAGAATTCAGAAATTGTGATTTTAAATGAACTCAAGATAATTTAAAATGATGGTGTATTTTATAAAGCATCATATTATTTATGAAAAGTTTAATTGCTTTAATCAAGAAATCAATACATCCGCAGTTTAAATTGCTAGTTCAATGAGAGTGGGTGGGGCGGGGGTCAGTTTTCGATAAAGTGTTGCCAAGTAGTTAATGACTCGGCGGCGCCAAAAAGTCACACCTCACCTCCATCTCGTTACCAACGCCAGAACCGTTTGGCTAGCGACTGTTGTCCGGGTGAGGAGGTCCTTTCGTTTGTTATGTAAACAAAATTCGATTTATCAGTCTAGGCCCTTTCGAGTTACCAGGCAAAATTGTGTTATTGTTATTTTAAACGCCATGTTGAGTTGAACGAGTTCATTTTATAGATTTGTTGTTTGTGTTCTTCGTTGGGTTTTAATTGTTTTTTAACATTTTAACTTTTGGACAAAAACCTACACTGAAGACGCCACGATGCCGTGTTACTCCGCCTCCAATGTGCGCTTCGTGAGCGCCGAGTCGCAGATGAAGCAGATAGCTCAAGAGTTGAGGGAGCGGGCGAAGACGGCTGCCTATCATCCGCCCGTGAGCTTCCAGCGTCCCAGTATTACGCCCAATTTGAAGTATGTGCCCTTCCGGCGACGTTGCGACCAATTCGCAGCCTACGATCAGAAACAGTTGCGACGCAATGAACGGGATCGCAAGAGAAATCAGGGACATAAGGAGGTGGTGCTAAGGCCTAACGACTTGAATCGCCTCAAGAATCAAAGCAAAGTGGTGACCAAAGCCGAGCAGCTGCAGATTAATGCAAAGATAATGGATGAGCATGAGAAAAATCTGGAGATGGTGGAGGAGGCACGCTTACACTTCAAGAAAATAGACGATGCCCGAAAAGCGCAGGCGAATGCGAAGCTAGAGAACAAACCCACCAGCAGTGAGGCCGGTGAGTTGGAGCAGGAGAAGATGTCCGTGCTGCATCGTGCCTTTCTCGCCAAGCAGGAGCAGGAGGAGGAGGTGAAGCAAATCAATCGCATGATACTCAATGCCAAGTGCAAGGCAGTGCGAGAGGCCCAAATACAAGAGAAGTATCTGCTCGCGCGTGCCTTAAGAGAGGACGACGAGCGTATGGCCCGCATGGTGAACGAGAGAGCCCGGGAAGCGCTCAATGCCGACGATCAGCGCGAGCGACGCGAAGTCGAAAGGCGCGCCCAATACGCCCAGGATATACGCCAGCAGCTGAGTGAGCGGGAGAACCTGCGCCTGCTGGAAGCCAAGCGAGTGGCCGACGAGGCCAAAGATTTGCGCAAAGCCGCCGATCTGGTGCGTGCCGATGAGCAGCGACAGCGTGATTTCGTGCAACTGCGCAAACGACGCTTCCGCGAGGAATTGAATCGCGTGAGCGAGATGAGTAAGTTGCTGAAGCAATTGCTGTGCGAGCAGGAGCGCATGGCCGAGCTACGAATATCCGCTTACATGCGCCAGAAACAGGAGAAGGAGAAGCAGCTACAGGAGATGAAGCAACAGATGAAGCAGCAGTTCGAGCGGCGACAGCAGCTCATCTACGAGGCAGCCGTGCAGGCTCGAGAGACACGACAGACCAGCGACGAGTTGAAGTTTCTGCGCGAACGCGATCGCCTCGAACGGGACTACTTGCGGCGTGAGAAAGAGGCGGCCCTGCAGAAGCGTGAGCAGGAGCGTGATTTGTTGGCGGCGCGTACTCAACAGGCCCAGGAGATCAAGCAAAGACTGGCCCTGGAGATCGCTCACGCTGAGGAGGAATTCAACAAGGTTATGGAGCGCATGCGCGAAGAGGAAGAGAAGCAAAAATGTCTGGATCGGGAGCGTGACTGCCGTCGTCAGGTCTATAAGCGTGATCTGAAACAGCAGATGACCGAAAAGGACGCGGAGCGTCTTCGTCAAGCCGAAATGGAGCGCACACGCATGCAAAAATGGTTGGACAAGGAGCAGCAACGTGAGGCCAACATAAAGCAGGTGATCAGCTCAAAGATTGCGGCCATGCGGGAGAATTGCTTGCCCGAGAAATACTTGAAGGAGGTGGAGAAGCGTCTCAAGAAAATACAGGAGAGTCGCAATCGCATATTCTGAGGATGGAACCATCAAATCGGCGACTTTCCTGTTGCATAGCTTTGGGAGCTGCCAAGTGCGCCGATAATGGTCGTTCGAAGTAGCGCCTAAAACTATGCAATGCGTTCAAGAGCTATCAAAATTCTCCCATTGCACCTCATTCCCCTAAATATTTCAATTGCACTTTACTGTATTTTATTCACACACACACTGCAAGAAATTCACAGTGCTTTTTACAAATACACACACACATATATGTATATTTTAAAAATAAATGTACTTTTTTGAAAAAATGTGGAAAAAAAAACAAAATAAAAAGGGGGTTGTCTATTGCCGCAGAAATTTCGCATTCTTCTTTAAAAAAATGTCCTACACTGTTTCTCTAATAAAATTGAAAAGAAAACGATTGGGTTATCTACGACGTACGACCAGAAGAAGAAAATATTGGACCCGTATTAGTTAAATACATTTATTAGATGATTATTATTAGATAATATTTATAGGGAAAACCACTTATTGTGTTTTCTATTCGTTTGGTTTTACTTTTCACAACAATACTGGGCTAAATATTGTGTGAACAGTAGAGCCAGTCCTCCAGCATGAATCAAAATCCGATCTGGTAGGAATATATATTTCCATGTCAGTTGCGCTTCATCAAAGTGTTGTCTGTTCCATCCATTGTTTCTATACTATTTCACACCATCATTGTAGGGATCAACGATTAACTCCGATTGCAATGTATATTTCCATTTCATCCATTTTTCCGCACTCCTCATTTGGCTATAAAATCTATTATTTTGAGTTTCATGTTACCTTAATAAAAAAAAAACTTGAAAATATTAGTATACAATATATATATAAATAGTTGATACGAGCAGATTTGTGCAAAGCTCTCAGTACAATTTGCTATAGTCGAGTGTAGCTGGCCAAATTACAAGTCCAATTTGGCAATACTCTTTAATGTTTTTAATTTAACTTTTAATTTTTACCTAATCCTATATCCTAATCCTATTGATTTTGGTTCTGCCAAAACATATCTTGATTTTGGGCCCGTTCAGGGCATGTTATGAGCAACTATGCCCCGGTTCATAGCTGCTTTTTTTTTTTTTTTTGTTTTTGATGTAGGGGGAAAAGCATTGAAAGCCGATGTGCGGGACTTGGAGTTACCTCACCCGCTAAAAACCCACCTACTCTCCGATCCCTACCATCAGGGGGGAGCAGCACGAAACGCACCTCATCTAGTTCTTGATCTAGAATCTGAAGCCAAATTTCACTGCCGTTGATAGCAATGCGAGGATATCAGGACAGCTGCTAGTTTGCGAGCTAAAGATATGCAACAAGGTGGACGGACGGAGGGATATGCTGATAATGAAAGTACTATATATATAGTTTCTTTGTGGGGTCTCCCACATTTCCTTCTGGGTATTACGATGATGGAAAAGAAAGGGTGGACTATAATTAAATATATAACAAATTCTCTTTAGAAAATAACTGTGAAAGCGGCGTAGGTGAATTTTCTAAACAGACTGAAGTGCGATGAAAAAATTTGAATTCGTTAAATTCACTTTTCACTGGAGAAGACGGAAGCTTTTCTTTCACTTTGCAAATTTTTTGCTGGGAAGCCAGCTATCCCCAAGCAACTTTCCTTAATACTATGCAATAAAATTATGATTAAGTTTAAACTTAATTTGCTTAAACACAGTAAAACAAAAATAAAATTATAGACGTAAAATTAAATTAAATTATAAATAAATAATAATAATGATAATAATAATATTTTATTCACTTGAGCTACGTAGTATGTGCAGATCAAATTAATTTGAAGAAACTATTCAAAGTCAAGTCGTTATGAAAAAAACTTGGCTTTTAAATGGTTTGAAACGAATTAAGTCGACCGTCAATATATATAGTACATATGTTACCTCCGCAGTTGCCAACTTTTTGAAGATTTTCAAAATTTTATAATAGATCTTATTAATCAAACCGATTGAGAACTTCATGGCTTCGAGAAGTAGATGTTGAATTGGTTGACGGGTGTATTAGATAGCTGATACGCGTTTAGGTTGTTTGGTTGAAAATAGTTCTTTAAACTAAATAAACGCTGCTAAAAATCGCATTTATATAGAAAACATCAATGACGTGGCGCTAATTATCAACAGTAAATGTAACTAATATAATAAATGCTGCTTTGTTCGTTTCCTATACTTTTGAACCACTTAATAATCCGATTTACTACACTTACATAAATTCAGCGAAATAATTTTTTGGTGTCTGTTCGGTATAATTGTTAAAAAGAGACCGACCAGTAATACTTTTTACTGAATATTAAATCTACAACAAAATAGAAAGAAAATATGCTTCTAATTTTAATGTCATCTAACATTTAAAGTCGATAACAAAATAATCGAAATTAAACAGAATTTAACTTTACAGTGAATACTGAAGGACAGGCAAGCCGCCTGATAAGTCGTTCATTTATAAAATAAGACTCTTTTTCTGTACACTTATTAATGAAGCAACATATTTTAGGCAGATTTTTATGTTGATCGTTACTATGTCAGAAAATTACTGGACTGTGGATTTTAAAAACAAGGTAGACACAGAGTTTGTTTTCTTTTGAATATGGGAAGATCATCTACAAACTCCAATTAACGACATAGAAACATTTTTTTTTTAATTCTACTGTTATCTTTATAACTTAAATTAAACTTATAGTTAAATACAAATACAACTTAAACTAGGGATTTAGTCTTAATTACAATTTAACATTTATAATTTATATAAATCTCTTCAGCCTCCTTCTCATCATCATCTCTATACTTATTTCAGCAATAAAAGCTATCAAAATTGTTGGATTGACTCTTCTAAATCCAATTGTTATATATTTTTTATTAAATTCTGTACATTTTTCCCCCAAATTGCAATCACATGTGACAACTAATATTATTTACTTTTGATATTTCAATCTAAAATGTTAATTTATTTAAATTTTCAAGCACTATTGCGAAATATTGATTCAGGCTACAAATTAAAACTCTGCACATCATATGCAAATGTTCGCACGAAATTATTTAACGCGTGTGCTCTCAATTACATTTGCACATACATTCTGTATGTACAGAACTGTGTGTGTATGAGTGCGGGAGCCCTCAGCAACTACTGTTAAAAATTTAAACCCACAGCCTAAAAGTATGCTCCAAAAAGCAACAACAAAAACTAACTGCTGATGTGCTCGAATCTGTGACGAAGTGGGCGCCGGCAAATGAAATGAAATCAAAGAAGACGACAACGTTGCGTGCAAGGACACACACACACACGCACACAGGCCACGTACACAACACACACATACCCATACACTCTGCACACGCTAATTTCTAACTATGTGGGTGTTTAGTCGAAACGTACCCCGCAGACACACCGCAAACAATTACGAGAGAGCATTGCGCTCCACACTAGCAGAAACTACGCCTCGGTAACGCCGCCGCCGCCGCAGCCGCCGTCGCCGCTGCCAACCAAAAAGTGGTAGCAACTTTTGGCAACAATAAAATTTTATTATGCCACACACATACGCATTCACACACACACACGCACACAAACACAGGCAAACAAAGATGCTGTACTGGAGATGCCGACGATGCCGTTTGGCGACATGAACGATGACGACGAACTCTTGTGCATGGTTCAATTATCGTATTTCATGATTCGTTAAATTTTCGCATACGCCAAAAAGAAAAACCCAAAAAAAAAAGTAAAACAAGAAGAAAAATACGTAAGACATGGCAACCGCCCCCAGTGTTCGCCTACCGCTACCCCGCTGGCGAGCAAAGAAAAACCAAGTGAAAACAGGTTTTCCCCTGGCAACCATTGTGATGTCTACCTACAATGAAGTTGACGGTAGATGGCAGACGATATGGCTAGATGGCTGCCTGCCTGCCTGCCCGCCTTCCTGCCTTCCCGCCTCTCGTATGTGGCAGTAATAATTCCAATGACAATAAACGTTGTCGTATTTACAAGTACCAACACACTTACACTCTCACACACACACACACACACACACACATGCTCGCACATACTGTGACATGAATTGATGAGAAAAGTTTTTGAGGAAATGTCAATAGAGTAGCAGAGACAAACTATGCTGCGTCAACGCAGACCCGCCAAATCACAATGGGACCAACTAAAAAGTTTGCAGCAACAAAAAATCTGTGTCTTCCTCAAAGCCTATAAGTAAGTTGTGTTTGCCGTTTGTGATCAAGTTGAGTTCCTATTTTTCATTACTTTAAGGCGCCCATTTTTCAACAGAGCAACAAATTTGGGAAATTTTTTAATATATTTATATCACTTTAATGAAATTCTGTTTAAATACACGCTAATTATTTATGAAATATTGGAAAAGTTTCCTTCTTAAACAGTAACATTATCGACTGATTGAATCTAAGAAACAACTGCGTTTTAAGAATTGCAAAGCAAATAATTAAAAGGTTGCAATACTTCATCCTCTTCCGATGCCAAGAAATAATGCTCTTCAGATGCATTTTAGGGATTAACACAGGAAATTGTTTCCGATATTCACCTCTCCACGAAAAAAACATTTTATGAAGATAGTTTTTAAATGTCTCCAAAGAATTTATTCTACTTTTGGACATTCTTAAGGGAGCTAAGCTACTTACAGCTGTTGACAACTAATTAACAGTCACTAGAATTCTAGACTAGATTTGATTTTGCGACTCTCATAAAACCTACAATTGATCTAACGGTATCCGATCACTGCTTATCTTTTAGATTTCTCCTTCTTAGGCTTTTTTAGCTTATAAGATGCTTTTTATATTTTGTATATATTTCCTATGTCGACAGTCAATGTTTGTGGACATAAATAAATAAATAAATATCTCTTCTTTAGCTATTTCTTTTTATAAATGCAGTTCAGTTTTAATATGCACCGCAACGTTCAATTAGTAATGTTGATTTTTAAGTTGAGTTTTGTGAGTTTTCCGTGTCAGCAAATTATTTTTTCCATTTTTATACAAATCAAATGTAGATTTTGTTTCTGAGAAGGCATTTTAATCAAATTTGGTTAATAGAAAATATAATCAACCGTGGGTAAAGGTAATAGTTCTTCCCCAGCCGTAAATTTGAAGATAATTTTAAATTTACCAAAGTTCAATAATCTGTACATTTATGGACAACAGAACATTATTGATGGGATGCTTTAAGTACTTAGCGATAAGTTCTAATGAATATATTATAATGCTTCAATGAAGATTTATTGAAAGCCAAAATATTCCAC